CCTGTAGTTGAAGAAAATCCAGTTTGAAGAGCAGCCTGATATGTATATTTATTCTAGAGGAATGGCCATTAGCAAAAGAAAATATAGATTCTGTCCTTATGGCTTGCAGGGCCCGCTGAGGTAGGCTTGAGTCCTGGCTGCTCTGAGTGGGGCTGAGGCATTGCCTGAGGAAAAAATCCAGAGCCCAGATGTTGCCTTAACTGGAATATTTTGCCGTTTTCATTTGCAATGACAAGATTCCTATCAGTTGTCCTTATTCCTGATACTTAACTCTTAATGTAACTAATTTGTGTTGCTACGATTTCTCAGATAAAATGTGAGAAATCTGTTTTTCTCTCTGCAGCAACCCCCTCCTTTCTGGCATTGTTTGCGCTCTCTGTCTCTCTCCCCTGCCAGTTCCAGTAATCCAGGCGTTTATATGGCTCATTAAGCACATCGCACTCTCTGCAGTGCCGGATGTAATCAAGTTCAGAATCTTCGCTCTCTGCACTCTAAGGGCAGGGGGATGGGGCCTCTTGCTCAGGACCCAGGGGAGGCAAAGTGGGTTGACAAGCTGAGAGAAGTGAGTGGCTTCCTGGGGGGAGCGGGGGGAGGGGGCAGAGCTGGGGCCAGCAGGCTGAGCCTGGCCTTCCCTCTGCTGCACACAGGCTTGGCAAGACTTCAAGGTGCTAGCACTCCAGGTGGGCCTGCAAAAGCCTGCTTCCACTCAGTAAAACTTACTTATACTTAGAGCAGTTTGCTTTTCCATAGAAAAAGCATTTTAGTTGCCACCATTTCCAAGTTTATGGATGATGGGTTTTGGAGACCTGCCTTTAATACTGTTTCTCCACTGTTGCTTAAATTTAGAACACTTAGCTGGAAGTCAGCTGAGAGTCCATCTTGTTCTGTTCTTACATTCAACAGACAACCAGGAAACAGAACAGAGAGCATCAGTTTGTTTGAACCGGGGTCGGGACCAGAACACCATTTTCCTTGCTCCTGGTCTCTCAGTGTTGTGCTGTCTTTCCAGGACCTGCAGTTGCCCCGCACTAAGGAACATACAGGCAGTCTAAAATGCCACTTTGAGTTGCACTCTGCCTGCCTGACCTATCCTGTCAGTGTGGCTTTTGAAGGGGCTGCAACTGGCGTGCAGGGAAGAAACACCTCATGTCAGTGCCAACCACTGATTTGTCTCTGTGTGTCGCCCACACACCTGTGTTCACTCTCACCACCTGCCCCATCACTTCCTGCTTCAGCTCACTCACCAGCCCACTGTCTCACGGGCTTTGTCTTATGTGTTCTTTTGAAACTGCTTTCATCCCACTCCCCCTTGTTCTTTGCATGTAGGTAGGAAATAGATAAAGATGTGTTTGTGCGAGAGCCCTATTATGAGTATGTGTTGTGATGGGGTCACAGTGCAGAGTCAGAAGGGTCTCCAAAAACAATCATATACTCTTTGAGGGCAAACACCAATGTATGCCTGGGAATGTGGGGTGGAGGGGAGGGGTATATTTGGGAAGTATGTGTGTATGGGTTGTAAACGTAAAAAACGTCCTTTAAAAGAATGGGTTCAGATTTATTTTTTGCTTTTTAAATTATTTGAAGGAATCCTCATGCACTGTTGGTGGGAATGCAAATTGGTGCAGCCACTGTGGAAAACAGTATGGAGGTTCCTCAAGAAATTAAAAATAGAATTACCATATGATCCATTAATTCCACTACTGGGTTTTTGCCCAACAAAAGTGAAAACACTAATTCAAAAAATATATATATATGCACCCCTATGTTTACTGCAGAATGGGTTCAGATTTAGATGGAACAGAGGAGATGCTGGTACAGGAAATGGGTCCAAGCAGGCTAATTGTTGATATGGGCTTCCATCTGGAAGGGCATCCACCAATGTCCATGATGGGTTGCCAAGTATGGTGAGTTGGATCGAAATAGGAGAAAGAGCTCAGACACTGGAACCAGAGTACATAGGTTTAAATCTCAGCTCAAGCATTTATAAGCCACTCAACTCTAAGAGTTGAGTAACCTGCCTAATGTCTCAATTTCATCCTCTGTAAAATCAGGATAAATATACTACTTACTTCCTAGAATCATTAAATGAGATAAAACATGTAGAACACTTAGTCTAGTGGCCCTGCACATAGTAAGTGCCTGGTAACACTAGTTAGCCATAATTATGGGAATATTGAGGACTGGAAGGAACACTCATGGCCAACAGAAAGGGCTGGTCTCCTGGACAATGTCATTCTGATCCTTTGTTAAGCTATTTCCACTCAGGCATAGTGTCAGACAATTACAGGACATCTTTTCTAAAATACCTACACTGATGAAAAAAATAAGGCACACTGAGATTGACTTTCCCAGAGCCATTCAGCCAGTGAGCAGCACAACCTGGCTTCGAAGAGGCTCTGAGTCTTTAGACCCTACTCCATGCTGCCATATTTCATCCTTGACAGTTGAATTCCTGCTGCTGGCATCACCAACACAACTCTCCAATCTCTGTATATACATGTTCACTCATTCAACAAGAATTTTTCTGACCCACCATGTGTGTGGATCTCTGTGCTAGGTTCTAAGAATGAAACCAGACATGGTCCCTTTGTTTATGGAGCATACGGGCTGAAAGGGAGGAAAGACTAATCAAGCAAACTAAATAAATGAGACAGAAGTGGAATTGCAACTAGCAAGGAAAGGCTATAGGGACAAGGACAATAGCTGCTGTGCACTCCTGTGTCCTTGTCACTGAGAACAGTGCCCTACTTATGGCAAGTACTCGCTGAATGAATGCTAGCAAGTGCACTATGGTGTGAGTGGCCTTCCGAAGGCCTGTCAGTGTGGCTTTTGAATGGGCTGTTATATGAGAGTGTGCAATGGAGGACTGGCCCACTCACAGAGGTCAAGGAAGGCTTCTCTCAGGAAGGGATGATGGGAGGTGAGCGGGTACTAACCAGGTGAAGCAGGCTGGGCGGATTACAGGGATTGGAGATGCTGCAGTAAAGGGCATAAGAGACTCTGGAAGGAAGGAACGTGCAGTCCAGTTGAGCAACAGTCTCAGCAGCTGTACCAAGGGAAGCAGTAATAAGAGGGGCTGCATCACAGGTGTTGGCAAGCAGCGGAAGTAACTGCAATACCTTGCATTTATACAAGTTTCAGTTTGTCATGCCTCCGTAGTAAATATTGTCTTATGGACAATTCACAATGAGAGGCAGCAGGCCAAGAAATATCATCCCCATTTTAGCTGGGTAAACTGAGGCCTGTAGACTTGGCATGTTGTTGAAGTCACACATCTAAACATAGCACCTGCCGGGCTCTCTCTCTGTAAGACCTACACAGTCCTCTCACTAGCCTTTTAAAGAAGGTATTGATATCCCAATAGCACCCATGATGAAAGTAAGGCTCAGCAAGATGAAGTGGCTGGCATGTGGCTGGCTGCATTGGGATATGAAGCTATGTCTTCCCTGTGGACAGGACTGTATCTCCCCACATTCATATGTTGAAGACGTAACCCCCAGTGTGTATTTGGAGATGGGGCCCATCAGGGAGTAATTAAGGTTACATGAGGTTATAATGGTAGGGTCCTGATTCCATAGTATTTGGGTCCTAATAAGAAGCCATGCCAGAGAGCCCTGTCTTTCTCCTCCCACCTCTGCCCTTTCTGTCTGTGTCACCCCACACACTCCACACACTCAAAAGAAAGGCCACGTGAGGACAAAGCAGTTGTCTACATGCCAAGAAGAGAGCACTCATCAAAAACGGATGATAGATCTTCCTGGCTTGATCCTGGACTCCTGGCCTCCAGAATTGTGAGGAAATACATTTCCATTGTTTAAGCCCCCCAGCCGATGACAGTTTGTTAGGGCAGCCCTAACAGGCTAGTACAGGTGTGCATACATTTGCTGTTGTTACCTGCTATGGCACATCTCTCTCATCAGAGGCAGGGAAGCACAAGAACCTAGATTATCTGGTTATCAGTCCCATGTTCACTCCCTTCGCCATATTCAATACCCCTGGTGACCCCACTCAGAGGGTGATGGCAGGGTGAGGGTCAGGGCATGACACCCACCCCACTCTTTCCCCTCAGTTTTATCAAAACCAAGAGATGGGCAGTCATAGACCTCAAGGCTTGGGTAGCGCTAGTGGCCCGTGATTCTCCTAGATCCAGAGCTATGAAAAGTGACAGTTACAGAGCTGATTCCAAGTCTGGAACATTCCAAATGTCATCACTTTGTATGTGACTGAGATTGAGCATAGGGAACTAGGGCTGTGAGGCCGCTGCCTCTGGAAGCACAGTGAGGCACCTGCTGTTGCTTCATCTGTGTGCAAGTGTGTGTGTGCGCATGTGTGCATCACTCTCTGTTTGCCCAGGATCTGATGGAGGGCCAAGTCTGGGTTTCATCCAGCACCTACTCACTGGTACGTGTACTTCAGTGTTACTTAACCTTGCTGGTCTTCCTTGTACTTGTCTTTAAAATGGAGTTTTTGCACAGTACTAACAAAATGCCTAGAAACCAGTAAATATTTGGTAAATGGTAGATATTATTACTATTATGATGAATAACGACCCCAAGTACTTCTATTTTGAAATGATGTTTATAGAATTAAGTCATCATTGCTTTTTGCCCTGAGCTAAGAGAATAAAACATTCATACTAGGGTGACTTCCCCATGGAGACAATCATTTGATAATCGATTTCATCTCTGGGCTGGGTTCCTCTTGGTGCTGCTATGTGCAGAAATAGCAAAACACTCCTCTATTTTACAGGCCACCGAGTCGAAGTGTATTGCTTTTTGGGGAACACCCCTTCCCCCCAAAATATATAATGATGTGTGTATGTGAAAGCCATCATATTCTACATGCTTGTTACCTAACCTGTGCAAACCAAACCCCCTGAGATCTATCTACTAAAGATAAATAAGTCAGGGAGGTGGAGCAGGCAATCTTTGAAGTGGGCTTAAATTAAAAAGCATAGGCATTCAGGCAGGCAGAGGAAGGAAGGAACATGCTGTACCCACCTGCCACTGCTGATGAGGGGCTTATTTCTAAGACACACACAGCACAATGCACACACAATGCAGAGAGAAAACAAAAGACATAGATCACACATTTCAGATGGTTGGTGGACAAAGTTTAGTTAATGTCAATGCTGAAAGCTTGTTCCGGGTCTGAGATACACATGGGAAAATGAATACCTTTTCATCCCACTCACCTCTAACAAAATCTCAGCAAATAAACAAGTACATACACACACAAAATATCACAACAAGCTGACCCTGGCCCATGATGTGAAATGTGGCACAAGGAGATGGACACAGCAATGTGGGAAGGCTGAGTGAGGGAAAGATAAGGGCTTCCAGTGGAGCCAGTCAGGGCTCTGGAGACCTCTCCATCCATATGGGAGGAAAAGGCCTTCAGAGAAGGGTTTGATGCTCCAGCTGTGGACAGAACAGTCGTCTTGATGAGGACTCAGACTACTGCTCCACCCACTCCAATGAGTGAGAATGTGACATGGCAGTCAACATGAGCATCATGATGGCAGCAGTTGACTTGGTTCAAATCTATGAATATAACCCCCAGAATTATAGACTCTTCCTATAGAAGGTATCTTAAAAGTGTATCTAACTCACCCCCACAGACCATTAGATACTACAACTGAACTATTCCATGGTTCTATGTTTTGTATGGTGAGTTGGATCGAAATAGGAGAAAGAGCTCAGACACTGGAACCAGAGTACATAGGTTTAAATCTCAGCTCAAGCATTTATAAGCCACTCAACTCTAAGAGTTGAGTTCAGCTTGGTTCAGAATTGGGTCTACTCCTTTTATAAAGTGCAAACCTTGCCTTTCAGTGGACCAGGAGATATCAACTACCTTGCAAACATCACTGTATCACATGCTTAGGAGAACGACAGGGAGAAGCACGTCGTATCTAAGGGTGGTGGGTTGAGCAGTATGGATGGACACAGGCCAAGCAGATTGAGCCTTCCTCCCTCTACAGCCCCGAAGTTCTCCCTCATGGACGAGCCCACTGCATCCAGGCTTCCTGCACTCACCATACAGTGTGATGCTGGCGTTGCTGTTCCCAAGCTTATTTGTAGCCACACAAGTATAGTTCCCATAATCCTTTTCCGAAACATTGAAGAAAGTCAGAGTGGATATGTGGCCTTTGTTCTCAATCCTCACACCGCCCAGGCCAGTGGCTAGCCTGCAAGAAGAGAAGGTATTGCTGGTCTGGTTCTACAAACAGAGTGAAATAGCAGACAGAGATGCTGGCGGGAACTGAAAGATACCAGAGATGAATCCTACAAGGAGGCCCTGCTCACAGACACCTTTCCTCGAACTGACCCAGTCTCTTTAACCCAAACCATGAGTACCACAGCCTCCAGAGGAGGAAAAAGGAAAGGATATTCATGCTCCAAAGGTGAGGTTCACTGGCTTCTAGGCATTGAGGGCTGCCATGTCCCTAACTAATCTCAGATTCTGAAACCAAGTCAATTCATTTTCCCACTTGCCAGCTTCCTTGATTTGTTTGTTTGTTTGTTTGTTTCTGGTTCTAAAAAGAGACTCTGTTATAAAGGAGACAAATGCATTTTGGTTTTGCCACATCTTTCCCCTTTACTTTATCATTCCTTTTCCATGTGGGGAATGCTCCATCAGCTCTGCTTCAGATATGCCTTATTTCCATTTTTAAGGTACCTGGTATCTTCCTTGAACCACTGGAATTCAGCCATAGGTACCGCAGAAGCTTCACAGCTCAAGATACCCTTCTGACCAACAGACACACCAGTGTTCTTGGCTTTTGAGATATAGGGAGGGTCTGCAGGAGGAAAATGCAGAGTGATTTCACAAAACAAATGAAAGGCACATTTAGTCACCTGCTGTGCAAATGGATTTCTTGTGCCACCCCACCTTCCCAGTTAAATAACCATTTATTTTAGGAAAAGAATTTCTTGCTCAAGGATATTGCATTTACCCCAGCATCTTCTTAAGCCTTCAAACCAATTCAAAGTTAACAATTCTCCCCATTAGCTAAAACTCTGATGGGCACAGGTAGATTCCAGGGGAAAATGGCAGTGGAGACAGTCATGGTGCAAAGCAATGTGACACAGTATTTTCCTGTTGGAAACAATTTGGGATGGTCAGAAAATGGCATTGCCATGACCAGCTTGTTCCCTCAGTCCCTATATTCTCTATTCCTCTGAAACTTCCTGACAACGGGTCAACTCACAGTTTACAGTGATTTTTACTTTCCGCACATCAGGTGCAGCCACATCATTCAAGGCGCTGCATTCATATTCCCCAGACTGGTCACGTTTGATGTCAGAGATTTCCAGGTATTCATCCTCACTCACAAAGCCCTGGCCTTCTGGGAGGAAAGAAAGAGAAAGAAACAATCAAGAAACCATGAAACCAGGGACAGAACTATATTCATATCATGAGCTTGGAGGGGAAGGAATACAAAAAGCTGTAAAAATGAGGTTTGAACACTGAGTCAAAGATTATAAGATATCATGTTGACCAAATAGTATGGCATTTGGAGAAAGAAATTCTCTGCTTGAGTCTTGGGTCATTGTGTTTTTGTCCAACTCACTTTAACTTTCAGACCATTTGAAAAGAAAAGATTTTCATTATTTTTCAAATATGATTATGATGAGGATTAACTAAGAGAATACGTGTGAAAAATCCCAGCACATTACTAAACTTCGATCTTTTAAAGAGAATTGTAATGATATAATATATACATACATATATATATGTATATATAAAAAATAAAAAAATGTGGGAATAACTTTAGACTATGTTAGCATGGGCATCTTAACTTTTCATTATGTAGAAATCCCTTTGTGGGGTGCCTGGGTGGCTCAGCCTGTTAAGCATCTGGCTCTTGATTTTGGCTCAGGTCATGATCTCACGGTCATGAGATTGAGCCCCTAGTTGGACTCCATGCTGGGTGTGGAGCCTGCTTGAGATTCTCTCTCCCTCTCCCTCTGTCCCCCACCTCTCTCTCTCTCTCTCTCAAAAAAAAAAATTCCTTTGGATATGGAACACAAACTACTAACTACTTGTAGAATAAATAAGTGACCATTTAATAGTTTAATACAGATCGATGCAAAGCAGTTGATTTGGTTTCAAACTGTCCTGGAGCAGATGAACTGGAGAAAGAATGAATGTGGAAGCATTTTGTAACCACTATGCATTTGGTGCTCAATAAATGATTGCCAGCGTAAGATAAATGTGGTAGGCCCAAATGATGGATCCATGGTTACTAGAACAGCCTTGTGGATTTAATACCCAACTTTGTGGGACATTCTGGAGACTTTATTCCTAGGCACTTCTGAAGCTTGGAACTCATGATCCAAAATATCGTACGGTCACAAAATGTACATTGTTTGCAATCACCATTATGTGTCTTACAACAATCTGGCTCCTCTCTCTCATCCCTCATCCCCCTCCCTGTGGTTCAGTGCAAAGAGAACGGACCCTCTGTCTTGAACCCCAAATGTTTTCAGTTCTGTCAAAGCACCAGGGTCCTGTGAAAACCCAGCCAACACAAATGCCAAGGACGAAATACAGTCATTTGCCTTTCTTGTAGGCCTGCTGACTGATTCTTTTTTGTGCTCCAGGCATTAGAGTGAAACTAGTTTTCAGGAAGATAAAAACTCATTATAACTTTCCTCACACCCCCATATAAACTTATTCTTATCCAGTGGGTGTTCAGTCAACTAAGTCTATGTCAACCATGGATGTGGAGGAGCAGGAAGGTGAGGGATAGGGTGATGGGCAGGGGTAGGGAGGCAGGTGCTTTAGCATCCTGACTTTGCTCCAAGTCTAACCCTTGGGGAGTTTCCACCAACCCTGTCCATTTCCTCAGACCAATTGCTTTTCAGCTCCTGTTGCTTTCCCTGTCTCCACCCGCCACCCCAAGTCCCAACCACCCAGGCTCTGCCATCAGTTACACCAGTACATCCCAAGCAGGTGTGGGTCCTCTGGCAAAATATTTTTCAAGAGGTCCCTCTCTATATAATCAAGCAGAGTCATCCAACATCAGCACCATTCTGGTAACCCAATCTCATGCAGTTACATGAAAGAAATCTTGCACCGTCAGGAGAAGCAATCCTTTACCACCCTCCTAGAAGCTGGACCTGTGGACCGGGTCCCAGAACAAGTCCACAGGTGTGAGTTTGGGGATCTTGGGGAATCTGGTTGAACCCATGTGAAGAATGGCTGAGAGTAGAGGTTGGAAACGCACCCCACCCTGAAGGGGAATAATTGGGCCCAGGACAGGACACACACTCCCAGTCTAGAATCTGAGTATCTCTCCTTAATGGTATTGCTGGCCTAGGCTGGTCCCAGGCACCAGAGGAGGACTTAGAAAAAGTCAAGGAAGACACTCCAGAGCATGGCGCCCCCCTGGGGCTTAGGTAGGGCCCTATTCACCAGGATCTCAGGGTAGTGGTGCTGGTCACAAGCCCTCCACTGCAGCAGACATTTAATCATTCAGGCTAGTTCATATCCTAATTCCTCAAGATTTATTAGAGGGATAGAAACATCTTCTCATCCCTTTTTCCTTATTTCTCTTAGACTTAACAGAATCTCATAGTTGAAGTAGATTTTAAGATCACTTATTTCAGGAAGTCTATAAAGATAATAATGGCCTCACTTATTGAAATGATGTTGGTTGACCAATCTAAGTATTTTTAAGGCTTAAACAACAATGAAATCAATCACACAAAACAACTTCCCAAATTCTCTATACCTTTTCTGTAATGAATAAGTATGGTGCGATCAAAAGGCTGCCTCCCTACCACTAAGATGCCATGATTTTTTCAAAATGTGCTACAGTGCATTTGCCACAAGTAATTAAACCCGAATGCATCTGACTAAACAAAAGAGCCACCTGCAGTAGGTCTGGCAGGAGCCTCAGGCAGGGTCACTGAGCCCCTTGCCTTGCAGAGAATGAGATAGATCCATATCATGCTATATGGTACACACTGGACACATGTCTTAAAGCCCCTGATAAAGCAGCTTTATAGAAGCCAGTCAACTTAGAAGTGTTGGCCTGTGCAAACGGATGGGGTCACCTCAAAGAAGATGGAGGCCAATGTGCTGGGACCCTGAGTAATTCTCTGCATCTGTATGAGTAGGGCAGATCTTGGGTCCTTCGTGTAGGAATTACTGGACGACACAGCCACCCGCTGGAATGTGGGAATGTATTTTCACTATTTGTGATGTTGTTTTTTTGGGACACTTAGATGACAGCAAAAAAGGGAGGAAGGAAGAGAGTGTTTGGTGTGAAATGGGGATCGTTACAATAATACTACATCATTAAGTGAGAGAATGAATTTTGTCAAGTTTGTACTATAACGTAAGTGAATCTCAGATTTTTATTTGCATATAAATTCCTCTGGGATCTAAAAAATCCATAGATTCTGATTCAGTAGGTCTAGAGTGCGGCCTGGGGTTCTGCATTTCTAACCAGTGCCCAAGGATCTCCATGCTGCTGCTCTGGGGCCCACGCACTGAGCAGCGAAGTTACAAGGCACCACCCGTGCTCTTCTCAGATCACTCTTGTCACCCATGTGCAATTATCTGTGCCTGCGAAGTGGCCACTTGGTCAACAAAGCTTACTGAGCTCCTCTCATGCAGAGATCCTTGGGGAGTCTGCATCTCAAAAGACACCCTCTTTGGAGAATAGCGCTCAGTCAGGTGCACTGAGGCCAAGGATCTGGACCCCTGAAGCTAAATTTTCAGTGTTTATGGTCTTACTACAAAGCATGCATTCTCTCAGTTGTCTTTGCTAAGAAATGAGAGGAGGACTTTGAAACTGCTCCCCATCTTAAGCCCACTAAAGGTGATTGAGATGTCATTTTTGTTACTGCTTTGAATACTGGGTGAACAAATCGAGGTTGCTAAATGCCTAGAGATCTAGGAAACTGCAGGGTCGAATGCTTTCCCTGGCATCTCCGGGTCCAGTCGCAATGTCAAATTCTGATTCCATGCCGCATTGAAAGGGGCAGAAGGCAACAAATGTTTTAATCCTCTTTGCTGGCTGCCAGGAAGACAAACTGCTGAGAGGGAGAAGAAGAGAGAAGAGGGGGCAGGGAGAAACACATGAGGGAGGAACAGGAGAGGAAGGAGAAGGAGGTATGAAGAAGGAATGAAAGACAGAGGGGGTGCCGAAAAGATGGCCTGGGTGCCACTGGAAAGATTCTGAAGACACATTCAAAAGGGATTAAAGGAAAAATACAGGCTAAAGGACTACAATATTTTCTCTGACAAAATGTATGAAAACGGGAGTCCCAAATCAACTGCACAATTTTGCTTTGTGATGAGATGTCCTTTAATAAGCCAATAACCCAAAGGCATTATCAACCTGCCCTATGCATTCAGACATCCCCATATACCATTACTGGAAGCAAAAGGAAGTGTATTCTGAATCATTGGCAAAAATATATTTTTAAAAAGGGGTTATTTCTTCCCACAGATGAGTACTTTGGAGAAGGTAAGTTTAATTCACTGTATTAGTGAGATTAAGAGCTGCAAGAATACAAATGGGGCCATTTATCAGGGTATGTGGGAGGTCTGTGGGCCAGGACTCCTCAGTTGCAAGACGCGTGAGCAGGCCCCATGGTTATGTGGGCACAGTGGGCTTCTTCTGCAGGGAGGCAGATACTGACCCAGTCACAGACCGCAAAGAACAAGCAGTGGCCGTGAGCAGGGTCTGCCATCTTAAAAACAGAGGAGCAGACTGAGAAACTGCTTCAGGGAAGGACCCCTGGTGTGATCTGCTTTCCCTGACATCACCTGCAGTCATTCTATGCACATGTACCGTGAGAGAAGTGCTGGGTTAGACACTGGGTGTAGGGTGGAGATGAGGTAGAAGACAAGGTCCTTGACCTTGGGTAGTCTACAATATCATGAGCCCAGAACAGGAGCAGTTTATATTTTTCTATCCCTAGGCTCAGTTTTCAGCTCCTAATTGCTTTTACATCCTGCTAGTAAAGGATGGTGGTTCAGAAAGATTTATTAGAGCTGGAAGCAACCTAAGCATTCAGGGATGAAGAGATCAAGTAGGAAATCCGGAGTAAAATCGGGACGCTCCCTGATCTTGTTCACTTCTTTCTTTCCCCCTTCACATCCTGTCCTTCCATGCCAGCTATCTCTCAGCCACCACTCGTATGCCCAATTTTTCTTTTCTTCATACAATTCCTTAGAATTGTACAGTTCTAAGCACCATGAGGGCTCAAAGATTTTAGTCTTCCTTTTTTTTTTTTTTTTGATTATTGTTCCTGATGGAATATCTTCCCCCACCTTGGGGATGATTTCAGAGGGAGGCCTATTCCTTTGCTAAACTGTTCACATCAT